ACCACTGAACTTTAAATCCAGTGAAAGATCCTATCTCAAAAAATAGAGGGCAATTTAGGAAGACACCAGACACCGATTGACCTCTGGCCCCACGTGCACATACATTCACCTACACACACAGTAGTGTTTTTAAAGGTGTTTCATGTTATGTGTATATAACGGATGTTAATACCCAACTCGGTGAGTCTTCTCAGCATCAGACCACAAATTCCTAAATGCAAAATGGGGACTTTGAGAGAGACAGAGAGAGACAGAGAGACAGAAAGAGAGAGAGAGAGAGAAGTGCACCTCTGCCTGAGGATGACCCATGCTGACTTGCATTGCAAGGGTTAACTTCAGGCATAGGTGACTTTGTTTCCAAGCTGTCTCCACAAATCCTCTGGACATGTTCATCCACAGGCACAACTCTGGGTGTTAACATCCTTGCACTTCTCCATCCCACGTTCAGAGTCTGCCTGACATCAAGGGGATGTGCAGCACATCCCCCCACCCCCCAGCACACACACACACACACACACACACACACACACACACAGAGAGAGAGAGAGAGAGAGAGAGAGAGAGAGAGAGAGAGAGAGAGAGAGAGAGAGAGAGAGAGAGAGAGAGAGAGAGAGAGAGACATGTGCCCTGAACTGAACAGTCATGGGAGAAGAGATGTCAGAGCCCAGCTCCTGGACAGGCATCAGCTATACTTCAGAGTCAGAAAAAGACATTTCCTAAAGCCCAGGGCTCATTGCAATGCCAATGGGTTTTGGAAAACAGAGGAAGGGTATGCTGTAAGTGTTTTAGCCACTTAGGACTCGAATTCTAGATTAATAATTCAATTCTTTATAAGAAATTAGGATGGAGCAACAGAAAGGTTATCCTAACTATCTTAAAATGCATTTTCTAAAATTATCCCATTGAATTTTAAAGGTATAATTATAAATGTTTTTATGAGCAATTTACCAGAAAATTACAGTCTCTTAGTTTAAAAAAAAAAAAAATCATCCCATCCCTTTGGGGAAAGATTTTCTTCCCAGCCAGGGAAACTATCATTTATTTCCTATAGAGAGCAGGGACCATACCAGTAAAGGTGACCTGAAATTTTATCTCTTTTATCTCTAGAAAAGATGCCATATTACTAGGCAGGAGAACCTTCTAGAAAGGGAATCAGCAGGGACTGGTGAGAAGAAGGGAGGGGGTGCACTTCCAAAGTGGAGGGGTTGTGCAGTTGCAGCATCCCTCTAGGTTGCAGGGCCACAGAGGCCATATTAATTGATTTTAAGTCACTCTCAGCGGAGCTTCCAGAGGCTTGTCCCTCAGGTCCACCCAGCTTTGTAGTATTCACCCCATCCTTTGCTTTCCGTTTTTTTCTTAGCTTGGCCTGCCCTAAAAGCCTTGCACACCAGTGCTTCGAACCCACGCCATGGTACTCAGTCCTTCCAGGGTAACTTTTAGTGGAATACAATATGTAAGCTTCTGGCATGCATATAATACAGAGATTCTAGGAAAGGGTTGCTAACACCAGTTATATACCACAATGCTCACAGTTTCCTAAAGTCCCTGGAAGCCTTGTTAAATTAAAGATTCTCAGTAGATTTTGTTTGTTTGTTTGTTTTCCACTTCATTTTTTACTTGCCATGTTGCTTCTTGCTGTCTTTTATTTTCTTCCACCTCTTTCCCGATGGTACTGGAAAGATGTAGCTGAATGGCACCAGCCACCATTAAATACTTTCTAGAAAATGGAATGGTTTCATTAAGACCGCTACCATTCCCTTGGAGTTGGAGGGAGCACAGGGAGATCAACTTCCAGATTATAAAACCACACATCTGATTTTGAAAGCCCAGGCACTGAAGGCCTCTAATCCATTCATGCTTAAATTCCCAGGACATAGGAATTTAGCAACAGCCTCAAATCTACCCAGGTAATATCCCATGAGGTCACATCAATGCCATGAGAATATACCTGCAATTTCTGGAGACTCCAAGCACCAGCTGCCTGTCTGGGAACAAGCTCCCAAGGCCCAGAAGAAAACACCTCTCAAGTTGGAAAGCTTCAGTTTCCACCGGGGAACTCCACTAACCCTTCTGAGGTGGAAGGGGCTAATTGTGAGGTGGTGATATCTGCTTTGCCTTTTGAGTCCATGCCTTTATGTTTTAAGTATTTAAGAGGCATAATCACCTAGTGTGTAGGTTAATTTTTTTCTGATATTGTAATTTATGCAACATTAATATGGGATGCCAACTCCAATTTTCTTATGCTTACACTCCGGGAGCCGAGTTGCATATTCTGCCAACTCCATTACATCATCTAAAAACCCAAACATTTCCCATTTGCACATCACTCTCAACTACCCATCATACTTACACAGTAGTCTCTCTTTTTCTCCTGGGTGCGCTCTCTCTCTCTCTCTCTCTCTCTCTCTCTCTCTCTCTCTCTCTCTCACACACACACACACACACACACACACACACACACCCCAAGATTGGCACCCCTGAGAATTAGATGCTACATCTGAGGTCAAGGTCTGCAACTGCAAGTAATTCCTGGAAGATATGACTACTGCTGTGTTGGCTAAAGGATGCCTCCATGTCTGACCTTCCTTTTTTCCATTCAGACTGTTATGTAACCTAGTGCTTGCGTGCAGGATGTGAGTGGAGTGTCTGGGCCTTACTTTCCCCTTCCCAATAAATCTCCTTGGAGAAACAGACAGGTCTTTTTTTTTTTTTTAATTTTTTTAGAACAGGGGTGGGGGCTCTAGGGGGTAAAGGGATATGGGTTAGCAGGTCATCCTGTTAGATGCACATTGCTCCTATTTTGGTTCCTTGGAGCTTTTTGGGGGGGGGGTAACCAAATTCCCCTGCTTTATGTAATTTGCAGTAACAGCAAGTTACAGATTTGTAGTCGGTTCTGCAACCTGCCACCCCATCTATTGCAAGAACACACCTTCTGGCAAGAATAACACCTGAAGATGTTAATAAAGCAGGGGAAGTGGGGAGGGGCTAAAGGAAAAAGAAAGGTATAAACCAGAAATTAGAGCCGCCGCTTCCTAGACACCCTGCACTCCCGTCTTTAAAAAAAAAAAAAAAAAAAAAAAAAGCCTCCAAACACATGAAGGGGATTTTCTCCAGCGTTTCTGATTAACCCTGTTACATAACCCGCTTGCATTCCAAATCTCCGGCTCTAAATAGACTCTTTGCAGCCAAAAGCTCTGCACACAAACTCTCAGAGCTGGTGGCCAGTCCCCGCCGCCCCCCCCACCCCAAACCTTCACCCCGTTTTCTATTAGTCCCGGTCCTTGCGGGCCCCACTCCTCCGGTTCAAACCGAGCCTCCACGCAGTCACTCTTCGGAAATCGCCTTTAATTAAATGCCGCACTCCCCCCCCCCCAGCATATGTCATCCTGATGGTTTTTACTGTACTCGAATTCCGTGAATGGGAAAGCGCCCGGACAGGGGGTGTGGCTAAGGTGGGGCGGGATGGGGGAATACTGTAAAACAGCCAGCACATGATCAGCCATGTTCCTATCTCCAACTAGCAAGCACATCAGAGAGCAAGGGAGCGGCTCTAGGTCCCTCCTTTGCCTTCCCCCAGGGCGCCTAGCCGCCAGATCCTGGCTGGAGAGACCCTCTAGTTCCCAAGCCCCGCGGTGGCTTGCAGGAGCCCGCTTCCTCCGGAGTGACAGGCGTGATTTATACATTATTTACAACAGTAATTAAAGCTGCAGTTTCCTCCTGCTCTTTGCAAACTCCCAAAGCATTCAAATAAATAATCCCCCACCCCCGAAGGAGGAGGTGGGGGAAATCCCACAGCAGGTTCTGACACCTTTAAGAAAGGAGTCCGCTTTCCAGATCAGGCCACTTTAGGAAAACCGCAGGAGGGGAGCAAGCACCCTTGTCTCCCCGGGTCTCCTCCTTCACACACTCCAGACACCAAAACGAAATGAACCAATGACCAGGCGAGGGTAGCCTCGTTAGCCCAGGCCCACCAGCACTCAACTCTGTTTCCGGCAGAAACACTGGGCATCGCAGCGAGGGGAGGATTCCCAGAGCAGAAATAAGTTTGGGTGCTTTTCTCAGCGTTCTCTCTGCGTTTGTTTGCTGTCACAGCCTCTCCCTCCGATCCTGCGTGAAGCGCCCCATTCCAAAGCCGCCCTCCCTTCGTGAGCTGTACACGCCCCCTGCCAGGCTCCTCCAGGGCTCTCGGCTCCGAACCCCTGGCTACAAAGTTGCGCTTCTTCCCCTAGCTGCGGGGCAACTCCAGAGCATCCAGCGCGCCAGGACCCTCATTCCTCTGGCTCCTCTAAACCCAACTCCAGAGCCCCAGAGAAGAAGCTGCACGCGTCGCCTCCTCTTAGCCCCAAGAGGGTCCCCTTTTTGTTCCTACAGACTTCTAGGTCTCTCGCTCCTCTCGAACCCCCTAACCTTTCATGGGAGAAGAAGGACTCGAACACCCGCCGCGACTCCTGCTACCCGAGCGGGGGGTGGGGGGTGGGGGGGTATGAGAGTAACTGTCAAGATCAGAAAAGGTAACCGTGGAAGCGAGTATCCACAAACAGACCCCATCCCCCTTCTTAAAAGGACACTACCGCTTTAAAAGTTTCTTTCCCCCACTCCCCCGTCTCGGTTTGTTCTTGGTGGGGGGGGGGGGAATCGTATTTAATTTGGACAGCTTGTCTTTGCAGAAAATAAAACATGCTATCAAGGGGGGCATGGTGTTGGAGTCGCCTGACTGTCAACGCTCCGGTCCGTCCCTGTCCCCCCTCTCCCTCTCCTGCAAGCCCAGCACTGGCTTGCAAAAGTTTGCAACATTTGTGGGGGGCCGCGGGGGGAGGGGCGGGGGTGCCGGCCGCTCAGGGCACCTCGACAGGCTCGCGCGCGCGCGCACCGGTCCCTGGGACCCCGCGTCTCGCCTGCTCCCCCGGGCGCGCGCTCCCCCGGGGCGCCCGGTCCCCTCCGGGCTCGGCGCACTGCTCCCGCCGCCCCCCTGCCAGGAGCCCGGTCGCAGCGTCTCCTACCTCGGCTGGAGCTCGCGTAGCTCTGCCTGCGACCAGTGCCCGGCGCCTCGCTCTTGCGGCCCGCGTCCTGGGTCAGCGGGGTCTCCCTGGAGCTAGCGGCCGCCTCCGAGCCGCTGCTGCCCGGTTCGCTGGCGGCGGGGTCGGGGGCTGCCGGAGCTGACTCCATGTTTTTTTTCCCAATGTAGAGATCGGCGGAGATGGCGAGCTCCGAGACTCCCTCTATCTTCTGTTTTCAGAGCGACTCTATGGTACCAAAAAAAAAAAAAAAAAAAAAAAAAAAAAAGGAAAAGGAGACGGGCGAGAGCAGGAGGGACCCAGCCAGGCGAGAGCGCGAGCGAGCGCGCGAGTGGCGGTGGACGTGTGCGGCCGAGAGGGGACGAGAGGCGGGTCTGGCCACAGGCAGCGCTAGCGAGAGCGTCTCCAGCCGGCCCCCGCACCCACACTCCACACCCTCCAGACCCCAGACCGGGAGCCACACAAGGCTGCCAAATTTGGGAGGTGGGGAAGAGAGAGGGAGGAGAAAGAGGGGGTGTCTCCTGTGCCCCGATCCTCCCTCTCTTCTTTAAATCAGCGACAGAAATGAACGGTCGGCGACGTGTGGCTCTGTCTACTTTTTGAGATTCCCTCGGGGGCAGTAACTTGGTGTCCCTATCCGCAGCCAGCTTGGGAGGAGGAGACAAATCCGGTTATCCACGTTGGGGCACTTGCTGGTAACTGCAGCTCGCTGCAAGCCTTGTCCAAGGTTGGGGGAAAACTAAAAAGGAATTAGAAGCTGATTGACACTCCCTCGAAGGGGGGAAGGTGGGACGAGGAACGTGGCGCCTTTTACTTTGGAATGGGACAGTCTGGGGTTTCCAGTCTTAGGATCTAAAATAAATTTTGTGATTGTAGGATGCATATGGCCAGCCAGTAACTAATGTTATGAAACGAGGTCTCTTTCAACTCTTTTGCAGTTTTTCTCCATGAAGGATCCTGAAACAATTTGGCAGTGCACTATTTTGTGAAGCAAACTTCGGCCGGTTTGGTGAAGGACTCTCTGAGTTGATGAAATGGGCCTAGCTACATGTGAACTCTGCTGTGCCTGCTAGTTTTCTGTTCCCACTGGTACTTTTGATATTAAATGCACAGCCTCATCCATAGCAGACAGACATCCTGGAGAGGTATTAATAACGTCTGGATAATAAAAAAATCCAGATAATTAACGAGTCTTATCTTTATAAGGCATGATTCTGCGTTTCCCTTCCCTTGGAGCTCACCCATCTACTAGCTGATGCTCAAAGAAAGCTGAGAATTAAGTCTGTGAGCCTCCTCCCCAAACTCCAGTACAAAGTACCACTACTACTAATGGGATGGCTAGTGAACATCCGAATATGGAAAACTGCCCTCTCTGCCTGAATAGTGAAGGCACCATCTCCTTTTATTTCTGAAGACACCTATGAAATCAGCCCAGTTTTTACACCCCCCACTTCCTTCCAGAAAGCCTGAAATTTTTGACAACACAAATATTATTATTTGTACCAGAAGGTGGCAAAATTATGTGTGTTTTTTCAGGGGGGGTGGCTGGAGGGGGAGGGAGAACTGGGGAACATTGCACTTTTGCTGATTTTCTGGTTCTAAAAAAGTACTCTTTTTAGAAAAGAGAAAGACAACTATTTAGTTTAAGACCCACCTTCTCCCCCCTCCCCCCCAAACCCTGCAAGTTGCTATTGATAATTTATGTTGACTGGATTGACACTCAGGGTGATCTTTGCCATGGACTATTTATCCCTCAGCCCAGCCATGGTCCCTTGGTCCATTCTCCAGCTGATATAGATGGAATGTGAAGGGTTCTGACATGGGGCTCTGCAAGGTTCTGTTAGCCTGTTCATTGGTGCCTGTATACAATGCTATAATTGTCTCCTCTCTAACAAATCAAATGTATGTCTTCGCAGACACCAAAGCAGATTTTCTAAGCAAACTGCATTCTCATAATTTACTATTGCTGGTTAGCCTGTTGCTGGTATTCTTGCAGCAACTGGCCTAGCAAGGTCACATTTGACTTTTCTAAGTAAACAAATGCTTCAAAGTACACAGCTTAATAGACAACTTCCTCTGGGACAGTCTCAAAATACATCTGCTGGTTGTTTTACAATACTGTTTTTAATTTTTAAAATTTAACTTGAAATGGAATTACATCACTCTCTGGTCCATGACCTTACTCCAGCTCCTCCTAGTTACCTTCCCTCCCACCCCCTTCAAATTGACAACCTTTTAAAATCTTTGATTATATTTGTTGCATATATATGTATGTATGTATGTATGTGTGTATGTACAAATAAATAGAACCCAGTGAGTCCATTTTTGTTGTTTGTATTTCAAAGCTGACCACTTTGCATTAGACAACCAATTAAAGGACTCATCCCTGGGGAGGCTAATTCTCCTTTCCCCAGAAGTCAATAAATGGAACCCCTTCCATAGTAGCATGTCCATTGATACTGGTATTGTTCCATTCTTGTTTAGACATTTCTAAGAGAGACTGCTTCACAGCAGACTTCCCACTCTTCATTCTGCCCCCTAGTCCACAATGTTCCCTGAGACAGGGATACAGGAGCTATGATGTATATGTACCATTGATGTAAATGTACCTACTGGGGCTGGCCTCTCCATGATCAGTTGATCTCTGCCTTATGCCCAGTTTTCTATGTAGGTTTGCAGTTGCTGTGAGGAGATGTTTCTGTGATGAAACCCATGTATAAGGATAAGATTTAGAATGTAGTAGTGAATTATGCTGGTGTAGGAAAGTGGTGGTAGTAGATTCTGTTATTCAGTTGGTTCCCTTATGGTTTTCCTTCATCCAACTGAAATAGGTCACTCCAGAAACATCTCCCAGAAAAGATAGGTGCAGATCTCTATGAGTTTAAGGCAAGACTGTCATAGTGAGTTCCAGGCTAGCCAGAGCTTCATAGTGAAACCCTGTTTCAAAACAAAAGGAAACATTGAGATTGACTCTGCTTTCTTCAGAGAAAGATCCCAGAGGGGGTGGAGCAAGTTTCTCCTAACTCAAAAGAGTTACCTCTTCTGCAATTTGAAACAATCAGGAACTCAAGTGCTGTCCCCCAGGGGAAAAATAAATGTGAGCTAGACACATTCTTGGCTGTCAATCACTGTTACTAGAGTGTAAATCACCTGGATTGTAGAAGCATTTGAAACTGGAAGAGCACAGTGATTGGGTTTATGTTCTTTAGTTTCCTGTTGTCCCTTTCTGATTACTAATTAAGACTTTCCAGTTTCCCAAATATTTGGAGAGACAGGAGCCTCCTTTAGACCCTGCTCATTGACAAAGGGCAACAATGTTTTCTTTGAAGGGATTGTTTTTCCTTATACTCTGTTCTCTGATAGGCGATAGGCTTTGGCTCAGAAAAGCTACTTGCTGCAAAAGAGATAAGTCTAAATACATCTTTTGCTTTACTGTCCCCCACCCCCCACCAATCCAGGAATCCAGGACCTCCTCACCAATCACAAGCTCTCCTCATGATGGCATGGTGACTCTGCTTTCTTCTGTGATAAGGTAGTTACAGAAAACCAGAGTTCAGTTAGAGACCTCTCTCACTGCAGTCTGTAACTGTCCTCTTCCTAATGTGTTTATGAGGTCCCTTCAACTCTTGGCTCTGACATCCGCACTTGCTTTTTGTTGTATCCATTCAATATCAGACATTATTGCTCCCCCAAACCATCACAGTAACCTTCCCAATAACTGGCCTCTAGTCTTTTAACCACTCAAATCCATTCATTCTAGATAGCACAGCCAAGTTAATTACCCTGAACTACAAGCTCTCATTTCCCACCATGTCACTCCCATGCTTACAAGACTTTAATGGCTCCCCATTGCCTATCCAATTAGCTACTAACTAGTCAACAAGGTATTCACAGCTCTACCTCACTTATCTTGGCACTCCTACACCAAGGATGGAAAGCAGATCTCATCTCAGGTTGGTTAGAAAGGTGTGGGCTGGAATTGATGAATGCTGTCTCCCATGGGCGGAAGGATAGAAAGTGTGACACACATACAAATTTGAGTTTGCCAAATTACCTTATATAATCCCTTCAAGACAGGTTCAGTCTTCAAGCCAGGGTGGACAATGTTGCCTCCTTCTGCCTCTATTGTGTCCAGATTACATGCCAATGTGTCTTTTCTCTGAGTGCCTTCTCTGCCACCCAGATTTTCTATTTACTAAAATCAACGTTCATTTCAAGCTGCAGTTGCAACTGTCTCGGGGCTTCTTTTGATCTATTGCTACAGGCTCTCTTGTAGTCCAGGCTGGCCCCAGACTCCAGAATGACCTTGAACTTCTGAGCCTCCTGCCTCTGCCTCCTAGGATGAATGGTATTCACACCACTCCAGATTTATGTAGAGTTAGGTGCTGAACCCAGGAATTCATCTAGCCAAGTTCTCTGCCAACTGAACCATATCCTCGCCTGTACTTTGTTGTCTTTATGTATTTAAATAAACATTTAAAATATGTCCCTTTAAAAAGTCTTTATACCTTTAGATAAATATTTTAAAATGTGTCCTTTGACATTTTTGTTGTTGTTCATTTTGTTTTCTGATAAAGCTGTTGGCCAATGTCTAGAGCTTCTTATTGGCTAGCTCTGTCTTAAATATTAACCCATTTATATCAATCTAAGTGTTTCCACGTGGTCTTATCTTACCAGAGAGAAGGTCCAGACCTCTTCTCTCACCTCCTACATCTTGACTCCCCTCTACTACATCTCCCAGAATTCTTCTTGTCTCCTAGTCCTGCCTATCACTTTGACAGTTTTATACATGTTAATCAGACCTACTTCCCAACTCTCCTCTCCCAATTAACTCCCCACAGACCCCTTCTCAACAAGTTTGCTTCCAAACTTCATGTCCTTTTCTTCTTTTAACAACTCACTGATGCCAGTTAGTGCTTCTCATTTGTACTTGGGGGCGGCCTTCCAGTAGTCACACCCTGATGATAAATGACTCTTACTCTTCAGTAGCCATCAACTACCAATAGCCCCTCAGTTACAGGAGAGATTCATAAAGCCCCATTAATAGGGAGCTTCCTTCCAATACCCATGCTTGAGTGTTAGTTGGCTTGAACTTGGACTGGTAACCATAGCTGCTATGAGCTCATAAGTTTGGTAGCCAGATCAAGTCCAGAATACAACATTCTTCTCCACCCTCCAGCTCTTACATTCTTCCTACCCCATTTTCCATGATGTTTC